TCAACTCTGGTAGCTATTTCATGCTTTGGTTTTGAGTGCTCTGTTCTGTGCTACGTACAAGCCCTACTGGTGATCTTAAAACTGGTTGCATAATTATTGTGGCTTCATCCCTTTCCTATCATGGTGACTGAATCTTTAGGATCACCTTTATTTTTCATTTACTTTTAAGCTTTATTACAGTAAAGTACTAAGATATTTCAATGATCACAATTAGATGTAACTTAGAGTCTCAAAAGCTACCTCCCTGGAAGATACATCAAATTTGTGTTTGGGGTAATAATATTGATTGAGATTTACCTAAATCTGCATGATTTACCCATATGCTTAATTTTAGGTAGAGTTTGGATGTGTGACAAGACGTGCAGATGTAGAAAACCAAAGTTTCCTGTCCACAAAATTTCGTATGGTTTTGGAATACCTTTATTCCATGTTAAAGTCACTACTGGGCAGCTGAACTCTTCCATCATTAATGAAGAGGGGGACAAAGCTTAGCTACAGGCCAGTTTGAGTTTTAAGATATGTGATTTAAAAATCATGATGCAAAAGAAGGTTTATTTTGAGTGAGATCAAATTTGGCCTTGATTTAAGTTTGTTTATTAACAAACTTGTGTCCTTTGTGGGAACCAGATGGGGAAATCACCAACACCTCACAGGCTCACGCCCCCTGCTTGAACACTCGTGGTGTCAAGCTGTGCTCGTAGAGATTTGTCAGATGAGAACATATTTAACTGTTCCACCAAATTTAAATGTATTAAAATATAGCAGTAAAAATCTAGGGTCTTGTTTTGATTGTTAATGATTAGTGCTGACTGGGGCTACTCAGGAAACGGTGTCTGGGTACAGAGGTGCCTGCAGTTGTGATTGAAACTGGGTCAAAATTATCAGCTTTTAAAAATCCCCTGAAATGTCTATTTGCCTTGCTGGCAAAATATTAATCTGTGAGGTTTGTTTCTGGAGATCTGGCTTCAATGCCTGAAACCTGTAGTGTGAGATTGCAGAGTCCTGATTGCATAGGAGGCAAATCAGGCCCACAAGATGCCTTTTCCTTTTTCCCCCTTGCTGTACCTAAAATTTCAGATGGAAATTTAACTTTGTGACACAATTGACCTAAGGACAATATTATTGTTGAATATGATTATGGATTGCACAAGTCTAAAGAGTTATATTTCATCTGTGAATGTGTCCACTTTGAACCCTAATGCTTATCTGGGAAATAAGAGCAAATGCTAGATCTGTGAATCAAGGAAAAAAAGACAAATTCACTCAGAAAGCCCCAGGATCTCAGCAGTAGAATATTTGCAATTTCTTTATTTTAATGCTTCCATTTATTATTTTCCTACTATTCAGTAAAGGCCCCTTCACACCTACAGAAGGAAGAAAATGTTCTCACACTGTTAAAACAGTGGCCACTAAATACAGAAATATCTTTTTATAGTATGTCCAATGTATTCCATTATACTGATAGAACAGTATTTCAATGGCTATTTGAAGTTCCCAGTAAGGTTGCTCAAGAGGTTGATTCAACTCTTGAAAAAAACTTTGATATTAAAAATAATCTCAGAATGGATTATAATAATTCAAACAAGATTTTAAATTTTCTGCCCTAGTATTATATTTCTTGAAATTTTAACACCTCAGTATTTCATCCATTCTATTACTTTAGATGCATCTTTGATTCCATTCAAGGGAAAACACATGGAATATCTTTGGAATCACATCTGCTTCTACTGGAATCATTATAAAATTTGTTTTAGAGATTAGTATGGATTATTCAAAGAAGGTGAAATAAATGTTTATAGTCAAAAAGAAAAAAAAGGAAAATGAAAACTGAAGTTTAAGCACTTCAAGAAACTGCTGGGCATTGTTTCTGGGCTAAGTTGTCCCTCCCTTTTCCACAATTTACTGTCAGGTGGTCTTCAGCTGCCCAGAACCCTTGAAAATCAAGCCATTTTCACAGAGTCCAAAGTATGAAATTGCACTCCTTTGCATATATTTGCCAATAACTTACTGATATTTAAATTGCATACTTATGTACCTCTTATTAATGTAATTCCTGCTGTTATGAAACTTTAAGCTACAATCATGTAGTGACTAAGTAATTAATCCAAAAAGAAAACATAAAGGTCTTATTCTCTGTCTCCAAACTCCCAGGCATCTGCACTTTGCTTTCTGTCTAAAGGTTGTGGATGAGGATGTGAATTTTAGAGCTAAGCAAGCTGACAATTTCTTTTCAGTGTCATCCTTTCTGCAATTCATTTTCAGCCTTTTCAGTCTCCCTTGGACAGTCACAAAAGACAGCTTTATTATGCAGTTCTATTCCCCTATTTTTGTACATATCATTTTCTGTTTGTCATGTTTAGGGCACCTTCATTTCCTCTGTCTCACAGAAGCAGAGATGATTACATTAAGTGTGGAAGTCTTCTCTTTTTACTTTTGGTCAGTAAACCATAGAACTATTTTCCATTATTCTTGATACATTTTGGTGGGGTGATTCTGGTTGAGTGTTAATGTAGCAAGACCCACGTGGTAACAAAGAACTACTATTACAAGCTGGGGAAGGGTAAACTTGTATTAATAAAGTGACTTTATGTTGTCCTTGGGAGATGTATTAGGTACTTGCTGCCTTACAGCATCTTCCATATAAATCCCCAGCAAAAGATGTAGGAGTTAGAAGAGACTGGAATATGTTTTCAATCCTGTTTAATCACTGCAAGTAAAGGGAAGGTATTAGAAATACCCCTGAGGCTAATCCTGACAAATCACCCTCATTCTGAAAGGTAGAACTGATATGTGAGGCCGTGTTAAATTTCAGTTTCCATACCTTGCAGAACCTGAGTGAGCCTGGATCCCACAGCCTTACACGGGGACTTTGTGAACTTGATCATCTGAATGCCCAGCTTAAAGCTCTTAAGGAATTCAGGCATTGCAGTGGTGGGGATTATGTGGATAATTTATTGGCCAGGAGGTTAAATCTGCTTCTCGAGATGCGAATGCCAAATTAACAATCACTTCAGAAACGTGTCTGACTCACCTTCCTGCCACACAGAGCTCTCCCCTGCAGCTGCCCTCCTGTCCCCTCTGTCTGCCCCAGTGCAGGGCCTCTCCTGCTGCCAGTGCTGGCTCTGAAGGGCTGATGGCTGATTTTCCTCAGCTAAAACAACTGTGCAGATTCCCAGCTGAAAACCCCATGCTGCAGAAGGTACTGTGCTGTAGGAACAGCTGCTCCCAGCTCTGTCCTTTCTCTCTGGAGGTCCTCTCTGCTCACAACATGCATGGCTCCATCTGAGTGTGTGGAAAATTGTGCCCACCTCTGTTTGTGGTGCCCATGTGGGGAGGGGGCTGCCATTCCCAGACACCCTCAGAGGTGTAGTAGAGGTGCTGCATCTGCCAGCCCATTTTTGGGACTTGTTCTGCTCCACCCGGTGCCATGCTGCAGATGGGAGCATCTGCCCTTGCTGCTGTAGCCATTCAGCAGCAGCTAAAGATGAGATTGCATATTCCAAACTCACAAACATTGCTCCAGAGGATAAATCAAGGTCTTGTTTAATTTGAAAACAGAAACAAATCAAATATTTTCATGCACTGGACTTTGGGGAAAGCATTCTGGTTTGGAACCCTGTTAGTCACACTACCTGAGGACTTCAGAACTGCATCATATTTGACAAACAGGTGCTGTCTTTGGAATCTCTACAGGATTTCCAGATGGCTCTGCATCCAACACGGCCATTAAGGAATAAAATTGTTCTTCCATTTGCACTGATTTCTCAGGTGTGGTATTTGGATTTTACTGTAAACATGGGTGTCTCATACAAGAATTGGGAAGAATGTTTCCTGGACTCAGCCTTAAATTAATCCTCAATTTTTAGAGGTTTTTTTTCTTCTTTTGTTGGAGAAAATGTGTTTAAGAGAGTTTAATGCCCTTCACCTTCAGCCATCAAAATTCAACAATACACTATTGCTGGGAAGTGATTTTGATTTCCTCACTGGAAAATAGTGTGTAAATAGTCCTTCACGAGGACTATTCATATTTCCCAATTGAGGAAGCTGTAAAGAGTTTACCCTTTACATCTGTTTCTTCCCACCCTTCCACTTTGCCTAGGAAGACCTCACTGCATCTCTTGCCTTCCCCTCTCCTTGTCTCTGCCTCCTGTGCACCCATACTTAAGACCTGGATTGAATCTCATACTTCCCCCTGAAGTTTATCCACACCCATCTGCTTGCACATCCCTGATAACCTCTTCTATTCACCTTGTGAGGGATAAAACAAGTTATAAATGCCACTGCCTGTACAGTGCATGTGTGATCCCCCAAGTGAGCCAGGAGGTTTGTTTCCTGCCCTAGCTGGATGGACCCATATTTTGTCTCCATCACTCAGGATGCCATTTTGTGATTCCAAATTTGCCAAGGAGAAAAAACCCCAAACACCTGCTTTTCATTTGCTGAAATGTGCAAATGATATGGCTACAAACCACTACTAGTTAAGAAGATTGTGAACTTTTTATTTTGTTTTCCCTCTCTATTCTGAGTGCAAGCTTGTAAAGGGCTCACAGGAGAGACTGGTTATGGTGCTGTAAACTGGGGCTTGCTCTAGTAACCTGGTGATCTACTGACACAAGAGGTTCCCAGGGAACTTGTTTTTAAATTTAAAAAAAATCATAGAATAACCTCTCTAGAAAAGCCCTGGTAAACAAGACTGACCAATTCTGATTTAGCTTTTGCTATGCCTTCAGTGTGTAACCTGCTCCCTCTCTAGCCCCTGGTGCCTGTGTTTACATCCCTGGACTCTGTATATTGCTGTTTGCCTAATGAAATGCTGCTCTGGAAGATTTATGGGCACACATTAATAGAATAATTAAAGGTCTTGCAAAGTCTCAGATGAAATCTGTACCAGGTCAGGGGAGAAAAAGGAGAGAGGGGGAAGTGAGAGCTGGGAGGGGATGTGCCTGCATCCCTGGCCTGTTGGGTGCCCTGCCAGCTTGGGCTGCGGGCATGGGAAGCACAGCGCAGAGCCAGGGCCGGTATCCGCGCTGGGAACAGCATCCAGGGCAGCGTTTGCCCTCAGGGGTGAAAGCAGCAGCGCCTGTCTGACCTTTCCTAAGCAGGGAGGGAGATGGGGCGGGAGGAGCGGCGGGAGCAGCCGCGGAGCGTGCGGCCCCGAGCGCATCGCGCTGCGCGGGGGCAGCGCCAGCCCCGCTCTCCACCGCGGCCAGAGCGGGGCCAACTTTGCGCGTTCCCCCCCCCGCCCCCCATCAGCCCCGGCGGGGCCGCGCATCCCCCGCGGGGGCGCGCACGGGCGCGGTGTGAGCGCGCAGGTGCCGCGGGGAGCGGAGCGCGGCTCCACCGCAGCGGCGGATGGATGGATAGACAGATGGACGGATGGATGGATGGGAGACATCCCGCCATCCTATTTGTGCTGTCATCACGCGTCTTTCCTCCCTGCCTTTTGGGTTTTGTTTTTGGTTGGGTGTTTTTTTTTTTTTTTTTCCCCCTTCTAAATCTCCCTGGGAATTTTGATTTGCAGGGTTTTTTTCGCTTCTCTCTCTCTGCTTCCTGCTGAGGATACGTTTTGCTTGCCAAGTTTGTAGTGACACCTCTCAGATTCCCCCGCTCCCGGCTTTTTGGATCTGTTACAGTGCCCGGTTGTATATAGACGTACTGTATTTTTTTTGCCTTTTTTTTTTTTTAATTTTTTACAAGAAAATGGGAATTCTTTGGGAAGCTAATGGATGCTGAGGAGGACGATCCTAAAAAAAAATTCCTTTTAATCTGTAAATGAGGTGTACGAAGAAATTCTTAAATTCAGCCATGAATTTAGCTCCATGTTAAGCACCTCGAAGTATTTATGATTGCAGAGCAGGTGCAAACAAGGATTAGGAATAAGGTAAGGGAGCTATTTCTGTCTTTGAGGCAGCAGCATTTGCTCAGGGTTATCAGCAGCTTTTCTTTTTTTTTTTTCTTCTGTAGAATCTGAGCTGATTTATTTGCATTTTCAGTGCTGTTCTCCCGTCCTTCCGAGTCATTTCTAATACGTCTGCGTGATTTCCATCACTAAAGCATACATTCCTTCTCCCTGGCTGCTCAGGATTTGGGAGTTTCTTGACTGTGCACATGTTTTGGCTGTTATTCTGTAACTGCTTAAAACCACCAATCCTCTGATAAAAATTATTTCTTACCTTGCACTTTCTCTACCCGGCAGGATTCATGAAAAAGAACCCACCAAAGCCATAGAAAATTGCAACACAAAAGCTTTTCTTTCTTTTTTTTTTTTTTTTTTTTTTTTTTTTTTTTTTTTTTTAAGATTTGCCTTTAAAAAGGAGAGAGAAGTAGTTAAAATTCCCTATGGGAAAACTGGGGCGGGCTGGGGGGTGGTGGTTTATAATAATCAGGTTCTCCCTCTAAAAGCAAATGAACTCTCCTCCCTGCTGCCTCCCCCTCGCCAGCAGAGTGATTTCTGAGCCTGATTTCTGCCCGGATCGGGGCTCCCCGGGGTCCTGGGATGCAAGGGGGGAGAAATTCCTGCTGGGAAGGAGGGACGGATCCCCTGCTTCCCTCCGGGATGCTGCAGGCTGCTCTCTGTCAGCACGCTTTGCTAATTTTTGTTTTATCAGCTCCATTTAGGGATATAAATGGCACGAGCAAGGGTATCAATTACCAGCTAACGGCGGCGATAGCCCGTGTTTTATGGGATTTAATGATTTCTCTTGTTTTGAAAAAGCTCTTGTGACGCTAACAATGAAGAACTCCATAAATCATCTAAATGAATTGTGTTGCAGCAAAGGCAATTTTTAGCCTTTTGCTGGGTATCTCCTGGTCCCGATAATTATTATTGCATTAATAGTTGTGAGCGTGTCTGTGCTAATAAAGGTGCCATGACTAAAAAGTGGCTCTCTTGCCGTGGCTCCCATGTTTACTGAAGTCCCACGGGGTGCCTGAGCTGTGGTGGCTGCTGTCCTCTCCTCTGGAATCAGATCAGGCGATGGGAAGTGATTGTAGTGTGTGAGCCTACCTGTGTGGGGAAGGGACACCTTCCCTGGCACTGCCAGGAGTGAAACCCATGAACAGCCTGCTCCAGTCAGGCTGAAAGCAGGAGGTAATCATCACTTAGGCCTTCTGATTACATGTTTTGATTAAAAGACAAGCAAATGAAGTTGTTGATTCTCTCTTTTTTTTTCCTTTTTTTTTTTTTTTTAGTTTTTATTCTGATTATCATCAGCATTTTAAACCCTCTTAAAAAGAAGGAGCTGTGGATTTCAATCCTTCAGCAGAGTAGAGCAGTGTTCCTGCAGTGCTGTGAGGAAAGCTCCTCTTTCATGTTATCCTTTTCTGTTGCTTTATTTCCACCTTCTTCTGCTTTCATGAACATATATTTTTTCAGCTGTTATTTACAGCCAAGCTGTACTGAAAGGGCTGGAATAAAACAAGGGTGATCTCCTTATGAAGCAAAATGTGCTATGAGAAAAGGACTCAAGTTTGGCTGTTTTAACAGAATTTTAAAGCCACAGAGTTTGTATTTACCAGAGTTCTTTTTCCACTGTCTTTAGCATGGTCTGCAGCTGGTGATGCAAACCCATCTGTAATTATGTGTATCGCCTACGTAGCTCACTGTGTGTTCAGTCAGAGACCCACTTACTTAAAGCTGCCCATAAATCCTTCACTGTGCAAAAACATTAATCAGAGGTTGAACAGGTGCTGGTTTAGCTCACCACACCTTTGTGTCAATAGTTGCTGGGCATAACACCATTATATAGATATGCTGAGTCTGCCAGAAATTGTTGCCATGGTTTTATTTTGTTCAGTCTGGTAAGATTGAACTTCTTGTGGCTGCTGAGTAGGCATTTGAGTGAAGTTAATGGAACCAAATCTGAGAAGTTATTTCATGAAATGTATGTAGATTTTAGTGCTTTCTCTGAGCTCCTCTGAATGGAGAGTTTTATTACCATGAAATAGTTCAGAGATGCTGAGTTCAATCCTACTCTCCTTATTCAAGCAAAAATTTTCATAGCCTTCATGAATCTATACATAAAGATGCTTTCAATAAGAATTTCTGTCTGTGCAATCGGGCAATTTAGATGGTAACTTTGATGCCAGTGTTTCTTATTTAAAGTTAATTTGCCAGGGTTAGGAAGTTTGCTGTTTATCTCCATAAGCTGGAAAAGGTCAAGGAGTGTTTCCTGTGGTGTCATTGGTAGAGCTCCTGTCATTCCCTCTTTGCCAAGGAACAGCCACTCAATGAGAACAGACTTGCATTTGAGCTTTTAAAATGTCTTTCCTCTGAGCATCAGGAACATTTAGAGAATTGAATTGGTGACTCACTACATGGGTTGTCTGCATCCCTCGTTACTGTTTATTATCGTTTGTATTGTGTGTGCATTTGAGCATAATCTAGCTCTTGAACTGACAGGTCATTGCTTCAATAAGTTCTTTGTTTATTTTCCTGTTTGCTTTTCTATTTGAACCTGCTTGTCCCCATATACTGTAATAATGATAATTCCTTAAGCAGCAGTGGGTTGCAGGTAAATGCTTGGGTTCATGGGTCAGCAGTGGCTCGTGACTGTTGGATCCTCGTGCTGATCAAGGTGTATGGCAAATCAAATCTACAACTATAATATCTGGAAGAGATGCCATACACTTCCTACTTAGTTCTTGCTGTTAAATTAGCCTTGGGATATTTTTTTTTTTCAGGTGATAAACAGCATTTATAGAACTCTTGTACTTTAATCCATAGGATGACAGTCTGTAATTTTGCAATGGGAAATCAGAGATAAGAGTCTTTCAAAGAAGAAAGTCCATGCAGTTACTAATGGCACAGTTTGATCCCACTTCAAATTTTACTTGAAATCTCCTGGTGCTTTTCAGCAGTGAGGAGCTATCCATATCCTAATTATTTCTGATGGAAAGCACCTGAAATGGGAGTAATCTGGGATTGTGCAGTGGTTCAGTAGTCAGTGTAAGTAGTGGACCTGGGGCCTTTGTTGGTCTCTTCCAGGCTGTAGCCAGAAGACAGGTATGAAACTTCTACAAAAGTTACAAATGTTTTTGAGGAAGAAGAATGAATGGGTAAAGAAATGAAATGTTTGATGCCTGGCAGAAATAAGCTTTGCTGAAAGAATCAGAGGTGTGTATGACATTTACCTACTTTTGGCAGTGGTTTTCAGAGTTCCATGAGTGGTATGGGATGTCAAACGCTCATTTAGTGGTTGTGGAGATGCTGGCCACCAGCCTGGCCTCAGCCACAGAGCTCCAGGTGATGACTCCTCCACTCTGTGGAGCAGTGGGACACTGAGGGGCACCTGCCCAGTCAGACCCCTTCAGTCTGGGTACCCTGCTGGCTCTGTGATCCATGCTGTGACGGGCAGGATGTCCAGAGCACCCAGCTGGGATATGTAGCTGGACTCTACATCATCATCCCATCAGAGTCAGCAGGATGAGCTTTGTAAAGTTGTGACCATTCCATGTGGTGTTTGTCTTGGTTTAGAAACTCCAGAACTGACGAAAACTGAGATTTGTATCTGCTAGAGTCAAACCCTTCCCCAGTTAAAACACTGATGAGGGCTTTTTCTTGTGCTGCAGTTGCTCTTTTATTTATTTTTCTTTTAAGAGAAGTTGACTGAAGCATTCAGGGTCTTGCAGAGCTCCTCGTAGCTGTTCTGTCACTTACCTGTCAGCAAATTTGCATGCTTCTCTGAGAGTTTGGAGTGCATCAACAGCTGATTAAAAAATGTGTAGAAGTGCACACAAAGCCTGGTTGTGTACATCTTGCTGAGTTAGAAAACCAGAATAAAACTTCAAGCTTGCATAGGACGTGCATTTTATCATGTAAAAAGTTGGAAAACTCTGTTTCACTCATATCAAAACTTCTCAGTGAACAGCATAAGAGTTTGCTATTGCTGACAGCTGGAGAGATTTCTCCTGGGCTCCATGTTTTGGTGGACCAAGCTTCAAGTTCAACATCTGTCTGGGGAGGTCCATGTGGGGAAGAGGAGTAATTGCCAGAAATCTGCTGTATATCTAGTTAAGGCTATAGCTTTGCATAAATAGGATTACAGCTTCACAAGAGACCAATTTTAGTTGTGGAAAAGACCAGGTTGTTTTGATACTAGATGTGAGGTTAATTTCTGCAACTTTCTGGGAAACAGCAATACCTGTGCAAGAGTCCTGTGGGCTGCAGAGCCTTTCACAAAGTCAGAAAGAAGAATGAAATTATTTGAAGACTTTCTAGATTTTTAAGCATGTGTCTGCCTCAAGTATATTTCCAAAATGAAATTTTGTAGTTTTATCAATGTGAACCTTGACTGTGGTTGGAGGGAAGTTTTCAGATGTGTTTTCTCTGTGGAGGAAGGGGCTGGTAAAGTCATCTCTGCAGTAGGAAGAAGAGGATGGGAAAGATGAGGGGAC